TTTCTCTGGTTCTCTCTCAAACACACACGGACGTTAATAGCCCCATCATTTTCCAAAAACAGTGACACATGTGCCCACACAGCATGACAACAGTATCACCACACTGCGGCCAGGATGGTCAGTAAAAGCAAACAGATTAAAGCCTGGATACCTGTAAGTCTATATTTTTCATTAGCTCGGAAGGTAGCAGCGCGTTGGTCACCGGGGGCGGACTTCCTGATCCCCAGCACACAAATAAGGCGATGCAAAAGCAGCTGGGGAAAAGCAGCTGCTTCCAATATGCGTTTCATCCATAAAATTGCATTACCTAATCTCAGTGCACACCAAGAGCGGTGCCTCCTAATCACACACACACACCTCACACACACACACACACACACACTGCAGTTTGAAAAATCACATACGAAGCACATCAAAGCCTTTATAGTTCAATCACGTGTGAAGGGACTACAGACTTTCTAACCAGGGGGGTTGGAAACAGACATGTTGAAGGAGCAAACGTGACGTGAACTGGGATTGCACAAAGCAGACGATTTTCCTGACGGCTCACAGTTTAGCCTCTGCTGTGACAAAACCATTTATAGCTCCTCCGTTGCCATCATCACACACTTACCAAGCATCACAACCAATTCTGTTAAAATTCTACACAAGTCACCATTGGGCAGGAAGCAAAAACATGCCACATGACAGTGTTCATCTGCCCATTTCTCGAAATGAACTACGCCCAGGCTTTCGAAGCAGTTCTCGTGGTGTGTTACAAGAGACAGCTTGCTATGAATAATGCTCTCTGGGCTGTGTGTAGCAGGCCGCTCTCACACAGCAGCAGACTGTATGTGTCAGAGACGGACAGGGTTAAAGCGAGGGAGAGCCGCAGGAGAGAGTGATGTCAGGACGGGTTTTTCGTTTTTTTTCATTCAAGAGAAGTGGATCAAATGGGGAACGGATGAGAAAGGTCGATGGGAGACAGACGTGGATCTGGACCTGCTTTGCTTAATGTTACTGTTTTTATGAGGGCTGTTAAACTGTCTATGTAGAGCGGTTGGCAGGCCTGAACGTACACCGATTGCTACATTCTCACAACTCGTCTATACTTTTAACATTCCACTGAATGCCGGAGCATGACTGAGATACCGTTAATTCTTAAAGTACTCATTTTTCAACGCCATTATTTTCTACATATATTCTTTTTTTTAAATTTAAGTAAGGGTGGGTGTTATGGGAGGTTTTTTTCTTGCCAGTGTAGGAATTTCCTCAGCCTGGTAGCTTTCATATGCGGGTCAGGGGAGGGTAGAACTATCCTTTATCGAGAACCAGGAACACCAACCGTTCTATTTGTGTAGTCTCCAAGGAAATGAATGCGTCTCATTGTGTACACAATCAAAAGGGTCCACACGGGTGAATTGGTCTCCATGGCATTTGAGTTCAAATCCTCTCAAATGCCATGGAGTCTAGTCTCCAGCTCTCACTGCGGAGCTTTGTTTATTCTGGACCTGTTAAGAGTGTGATTATGTCATCTTCAAGCGTCTTTGCCCGAGTGATTTGACCCACAAGGAGTTTGATTCAGCTTCACTGCATGTCTTTAATGAACATGGGACTATAGCGGGACTTGTCTCACTCTTTCGGTTTTGTCAGATGCGGTTCATTCAAGTTCATGTTATTGCCAGTTCAAATTATCGGAGCTAAACTTTGTTTTCTCTTCAGAACAGCTCCCCTGGGCTCACTGTTGCCTGGATGCCTTGTTCTCCCAGAACCAGCACGAGGGGAGGCAGTAAAGCTACGCTAACATCATTATCATTGTTATCATAATCATTATTAACCCACTGGACAGAGGAACAGGCCAGTATGCGCTGGGCATTTCTCACATTGTCAAAAGAAGAAAAACCAGATCTTAAACAGATGGTCATTTGTTAGTGACAGGCTGAGCAGATGAGAGTGGATGAGGATGTTAAGTATTTCAGACAGGCCTTGAAAGGAGGAACTTTTAAGGGGAATGTGGGGCAGTTCTGTTCTCTCTCTGGTGTTTCCACCCTGCCCAGGAGGAAGGTTTAGATTGCGGCGCGGAGTGACGGGTCCCAATGCGGGGAGGCTACAGAGGATTTCAGCACAGTGAAAACTTTCAGCAAGTTTGGCATCAAAAGACAAAATAAGATATTGCATCAAACTTGTGTTTTTCACACTTTTCTTGATCCTATTTGAAAGAAAACCATAGGTCTGGTGTTTTTTTAACACTGTTGTTTCTGTCACTTGCATCGCTCTTTTCTCAGAGGACAGGGTTGGGTGACAAGCGGTGCCGAAAAGGAAGAAACCCAGTCGCTATACCCGGACCAAAGGGAGGGGGCGGGTGCTGAATGTCACCTCCGAATCAAGCAAACGGATTGATTCAGGGCCGTCGGGGAGCAGTGGGAAATACCTCAGCCTGACAGGAGACACTAAAATAAACAACAAGTGTTCCTCTGGGAGAGCGCTCAACTGTGGTGCACTATGAATTATGGGCCCCCGGCAATTTCTTTTTACATCTTACTTTGTTTTATATGGCAGAAAGGGTTTTTATCTTTGAAATATGCAATTCAATAAACAAAGCACTTAACCTTATTTACGAGATGTTTCCTTCAAATTTCCTGGGACAAACTGTGCAGATGACTGACGTGAAGATGTTTTGTTGTTTTTTTATTGTAACATTTATCAAATGAAGGATATTTCCGTGTGTCTGGCAATTTATATGTTATACTCTGCTGATCATTAAGTATGTAACAGTCACATTTGCTCGATAATGTTTTTTGTTTTTATTCAGTTCCTTCACCATCAAGACTTGACGACCCTAATAATGTAGTAACAAACAAAACGACAGCAAGGCTAATGGCTCCGTCAGGCTATGTCTACTTTATATATACACAAATCCAGGTGTGAAAAACTTGTTGCATCATTCCCAAGAAGACTCATGGCTGTACTAGCTCAAAAGGGTGCTTCTACTCAATACTGAGCAAAGGGTCTGAATACTTATGACCATGTGATATTTCAGTTTTTCTTTTTTAATAAATTTGCAAAACTTTCTACATTTCTGTTTTTTTCTGTCAAGATGGGGTGCTGAGTGTACATTAATGAGAAATAAAATGAACTTTTTTGATTTTAACAAATGGCTGCAATGAAACAAAGAGTGAAACATTTAAAGGGGTCTGAATACTTTCCGTACCCACTGTATATAAACATACATATATGCAGTATATACACATATATAAACATACATAAATACAGTATATACACTTATATGAATTAATCAAACTGCTCTCTACACTCAGCAATGAGTACTTTTCACTTTCGCTCATATCCAGTAGCATAACTGAAAGCAAACTGTGTTTAGTATTAAATATGTGACCTCATGTTGTGATTTAACACTGGACACAGTCTGTTGATGAAGTGCATTTCCTGACACACAAACAGACCTGAGGCAGTCTGATTGTGGAAGCCATCTCCATGAATAATCATATCAATACTTCGCTCTCCAACGTGACTCGCTTAGATTGCCATTTGGTTTTATTTCCGCTCGGCCCCGACCTCTGCCAAGAAGATCTAATCCCGTCGTCCCCTTTTGGTTCGTCTTCATATGAAAAACTACATGCAACACAATGTGAATGTGCTGTTTGTTTTTACTCTGCAGAAAAGGGGCCACAAGGGGAACAACATTCAGAGTTCTCCCTGTGGGTATTACTGTGTCAGTGAGTTTACACTAGATCATTACTCTGGTGTGTCCCGTTACCCAAAACACCTCAGACAAGTCTCACATGCAAATGTGTTTTACGCATTAAAACAGCAGCATGTCTGTGTTTATGCATAAATCATCTCAGTGGGAACATTTTTTGGTTATTACGTTGCGTTGCTCATATCGAAGTTTCCAGATTTTCGCAACAGTTGAGCTGCACTGGACATGAAGTGACATCTGATTATTATCCATGACCGGAATAGATACTGAAGGGAATTCAACGTGCTGTGAACAGTAGTTGGAAGTCAGATAATTGAATCAACATCCAAGTCAATTTGATATCTGACCAATGTCTGCAGAGACACACTGCGCAGAATTAAACAAAGGCTGACATGAAACATTCTTTGTTTTTTCTTCAAACACCGACAGCTCTGCTTGTGAAATAAGCGCCATAATCTATGCAATGAAATTCATTTCCGAATGACAATCGATCAACCGTGCCGTGTTTTGCTGTATATACAGTGCATGCATGGCTATGAATTGATGCATATCGCTATAGATCCAAGCCACTGGTGTTGTGAGTGATGGGGCCCACACACTGGGCTCTGAAGCTGCCGGGTCATTAAGCGTCCACACAGCAGTAGCAGTGAGGAATGTTCATCAGAGAGAAGGGCGAAGACGCTACAGTGCATGAAAGATGAAGACTTTCATACTGTACACTTGTCTACTCATGCAATGGTAAATATGGGAAAACGTACACAAAGTTGTAAAATTTAAAAAAACTGAACAAAAGAAAAAAAAGTCTAACGGTTTCTTTTATTCCTCTTTGGAAGTATTGATCACAGGAAGCAAACAAACGGCCTTCATGTCGGATGTGTGACAGGGCAACTTCCTCTCTTGCCATCTTTTTTTCAAATTTTGCTTGTGTAATTCAGAGGTACTTGATCAATGTAAGAGGAGGGCATTGAAAAGAAGCAGGATGTAGTGAAAGGGAGTTTGGTAAGATTATACTTAAGTGGACAATCTGTGTTGCAGTGTGGATTGAATCCTTTTATGGCACAGCGGGAGAGAAGGCCGGGAGGGCATTTATGATGCATCAGAAAATAATAGCCAAAAGAACGAAACCATAGAGGAGTGTAGACGGAGGAGAAAGTGATGGAGAGGCATGTTTGGCTGACAAGAGAACAGATTAAACAGGAAACAAAACAGTGGACGCTAAACTGTAGGCCAATGTCTACTTTTGATAAGTATCCTAACAAAGGGCAATATAGTTCTATAAACACTTAGAAGACAATGAACCGACCTCCTACCATTGTAGAGATCACCAAGCTGGATCACCAGCACCTATATAAAGAAAGAAAAGAGAAAAGAAAGTATATCAACAACAGAAACCCAAGCTAAGCCTGCTATACAATGCTATTAAGCACTGAACGGACCATACCAAGTGACCACTTAAACGAAATATACAAAACGGAGAGCTGGACACAGACAAACCAGAATCAACAACAAGAGGTAGAGACAGAGGTAGAGACAGAGCAACACAGGGGGCTACACTGCAGCCAACACAACAAAATAAAACTCACCTTCAAAATCTGTACCCTTGGTTTTTGTTTTATTTTGTCATCTCTTTCCTTTCACGGTTCTCAACGTTACCATTAAATTGCATTGTTAAACTACGTGCTAGACTACATTTTATAACTTGCATAACTAACTTTCTTTACAACAACCTTTTTCGTTTTTATTGTCTGAATACTATGTAGCCTGGTAATGCAGTTTTATAGTGCATTCAAGTTTATAATGTTTAGTGTAGAGTATATGGTTCACAGCGTAGCAGTGAGAATGGAGCTGAATTCTAAATGGTGACATGGAAAAAAATAATAATACATTCTACTACAGATCATTTGAAATCCTTTTTATTTACATTCTGAATTATTGTATTCATTAATTTATTGTACTTTGTAAAATACATTGTATTGTCTGTCGCAGCACCATACTATCGGTCACTATGGTCATGCCAATAAAGCAAACTTACATTCCAGAGAGAGAAGACGAGATATTGACGGAGAAAAAAGAAAGACAGTTGGAAAGGAGGGAGCAAAAGGTTCCCAGCTCTCGCTCTTGTGGTGAGCAGTGTGCATGTTTGGAGCTTCCTCTTCTAACCTCCGCAAAAACAGGAGTACCGTAAGAGGGAGGGAGAGAGTGAAAGAGGGAAGGGTGGTTGAGTAATTGTGTGCTAAGGAGTTGTGTGTGTGTGTGTTTGAAGAGGTACGCCCCACTCTCTCTTTACTTACCACTTCAGCCAACATCCTGAAGCGGGCCGCTCTCCACTACCACCCCTCCTCTACCCTTTTTCCTCCAGACCAACGCTTTGGACTCGAGCTGCTTGAGAGAAGGCAGTGAGGAAGGACACTTTTCAGGAGAGAGATAAATGGTGAGTGAGACGTCTGCTGTTGGTTTCCTGGACTGGATTGTTGGAGTTACAATAGAAGGCAATCCCCCTTTCCTGTGTGTGTGTGTGTGTTTTCTGTCCGCCCTAACTGTGACAGAAACAGGAGCACGAGTTGGACTAAGAAGACAGGAGGAGGACAGAGACAGTCTTGAGGGACTTTTTTAACATAAAGACGGAAAAAAGACACAGGAGATACAGAGTACCAAAAGGAGGCAACTCACCTGACTCGCTTCTCTGCTCTGCCAGAGGGAGCGACCTCCGTCTTCCCCTCTCCTCCCTCCCCTTCCCCTCTCCCCTGACATGGGCCCCCTGCTGGCCCTGACCCTTGCCTACCTGGCTCACCTGCTGGCCACCGCGACCGGCTCAGAGCGCCAACAGCACCGAGTGCAGCACGGCCACTGCAGCTACACCTTCATCCTGCCCGAGGTGGAGCACTGCCATCCCTTGAAGGACTTCCAGGTGACCAACACCCTCCAGAGGGACTCCCCGCCTGACGCTGAGCCCGACGCGAGCCAATTGAAGGCCCAAACAGAGAGGCCCTCCTGGCAGGAGAGGAAGCTGGTAAATCTGGAGAGTGCCATGGAGAATAACACCCAGTGGCTGCAGAAGGTAAGGTCTCTGCCCTGTTAACTTTCTCCTCCGTCATCTTCTTACTTCACCTCTGAAGTACACACTCTCTTCTTCTTGGTCTTTTCACATGACACACATTTTAGCCGGCAGACCTTCAAACCAAATGCTGAAAAAATAAAAAAGAACGGGATGTCCACGGAATGCACCGCTTGATAACATCTGTTGACGAGCTTTCGTTTATTGATAAGTTCAATGCTCAGCTGGAAATGTCCTGGATGCTCGCTGTATGCATACCTGGCACCATGTCAACGCCTGGTGCATGAGTGTGTTTGTTTGACACCACCGGGAAGCCAGAACTCCCCGTTGCATACGAGAGGAGAAAGACACATGACCCGTGTTTCGGCTCATTTTCAGCACAAGTTAGCTGAAAATCTTTGTGTACCAAACTCAGCTGACATATAAATGTATATTATAGAAATATGTTCCTCAGTTTATCTGCTGTAGACACATTTCAGCATGGCCGTTGGCCTTTGCGGTTCCATTTGGCTCGGATTATGACCGACTTAAAATGAAATGATGCGATTAAAAGTGGCCTCACAATAGTGTTTTCATTGCTAAGGTCATCCGGGGCACAGAAACAGTGTTGGGCCATTGTCTATGACAGACAGACTGACTGACACGCCATCCCTCGTCTCCACCCGTCTCTCCATTCTTGTCTGCATCACTCAGAATATTTATGGTATACACTAATCCTCAGGCCGATTATAGGGGTTTGTGTCGAGTGTTTAGATTGGCGGGCTGAGAGCAAACATGTTGATTGTGTTTCAGGATTTGGAAATGAAGTATTAAGAATGTCACAGCTCTCCCCCCCCCCCACCCCGTGCTGCTGTCCCTCCCCACTCTCGCCATAAGGTTGACTGCCTTTCCTTTCCTGACTCCTTTTTACGCTCGACACCCCGTTCCTCTCCTTCCGTCTCCTCCACTTCTATCTGGACCGCTCCGGGATGATGAATGTGTCCCATATCACACCTTGACTTGCCGACCACCAGATCTCAAACTCTTCCATCTGTCTTGCTCACGCTCTCTCGACACACACACACACACTAATCCAGCATGTTCCGCTGAGGAATCTCCAAGTGGACGAGCAACAGGACTGTATCAACATTCCAGATTCCTTCTTTGGTGTTTCCAAGAAGAAACTAGTGTTTGTTTTCTATTGTTCTAACCCCCAACACAGCCCCCCCCCCCCCACCCTAGTCCCTTTACCATTCTGCTGCCCTGAGGGATTGACAAAAAGGATGTAAGCGTGCTTTTGTTAGTGCTTCTAAGAGGCTATGTGGATTATACGAATGCAGAAATATTGCATAGAGATCAAGGTGGCTGGGCTACCCTCAGGTGACCCAGTAATGTTTCGTAAAGTATAAGTATGTTACCCACATAACGAACATTATTCATTTAATTCCTTAAAACATCCCCCTTTTTTGAACATTCTCAATCTATGTCTGTTGACTTGACAGTACATTTAATCAAGTACTGTACAAATGTTATGCAACATTCTACTCTACTACATTTCAGAGGGAAATAATGTACTGACAATACAGTGCATTTGTATGCAGTAAATTAAATCACCACCTAACAGTTTTAATATGAATAAAATCAGCTATATTGCAGCCAGCTGCAACATTAAATAACATTTTACATGTTACTGTCCGTCTCTCCCTGTCCACACTTTCAAAATCAGGGGCAACCAACTAGGAGGCTCTAATCTTCTCTCCGTCCCCACCCTCCTCCCTCTGCTTTTTAAAATATACAGCTATAGAGTGCTACGTACATACATGCGCATTAAGCATCACGCGTATGGTGTTTTATTAGTCTCAACCTGCACATAACAGGCGCATGCACGCGATACGACTTGGGAAAGAAACAAACGGGGAGGGCAGGATGCCCTTTTGCACAGTAGACTGTTACTGTTGTGATAATGTTGGAATATTTCAGATTTTTCACTGAATTTTAGCAAGTTTTGTTGTAATCTTAATGTAATATTGATGCCTCTATCTGTAAAGCAAGCAGATGGTCTGGTTATTCTTAACGCTTGTTTTCCGTTCCTCCTGGGCGGAGACATCAGCCACTCTGATGACCATCATCATCACCTGAAATGTTTAACTTCACACAAAAAATTATCCAATATGCGACTGGGGCCTTGATTGAAAAAATGACATTTAGACAACAGTTTACAGCCATGTTAAAGCCTGAATGTACTACAGAACACAGTCTACATCCAGTGTATAACATACAGTATGCTCACATGCTGATGTTTAGCAGTTATACCTTTTACCATGTAGACCATCTTAGTTTCTCGGACTAGCATGATAACATCAGCAAATCTAAATGATGGCGCAAGAGGAAAAGTTTCCTGGGTATAACCAAAGTCATTGTGACTCATCTGGGAACCATGACATCCGGAGAAAGTATGGTCCCAATGCATCTGTAGCTGTTGAGCTGTTTTACTGGTGGCACAAGATCAAAAACGTCATTAGAGTTCCTGTGGAGATCTTGAATGCCTGCACAGAATTTCATGGCAGCAGAACCGTCCACTTTTTGTTCAGACTAAAGCTGTGGCTAGACCAACATCACCGTCCTTTGATGAAACAAAAAAAATAATAATCAGGAACATCTGTTTCCAAGAGCAATATCCTGGTTCCTCTGGATAATCTACACAACACCCTGTCAACCATTTTCAAAAGGACAAATTTGTTGAACAGCAACTTTCAATTAAAGTGAGATTTTGTGGATGTGCCCGTATAGTATCAGGGAGCTGGATTTTGGAAAGAGATTCTTTATCTTTTTAATTTTTGTAAATGTCATTATGAAACGCTGTGGGCACCAAAACCAGAATTAAGTTTCTGTATATTGTATTGGAGTTGAGGCAGACATCCAAATAAAAACCAAAGGCCAAGAATACATTTTCCTCTGGTGAAAAGAGGATTTATATATCGATAAAGTCGACAATTTAATGGAACATAATCATTCCTCTTCCTCACAATCATAGCCTACTTATCATTTCCTCAAACACCATGCATACTATACGTTCGGCCTTTACTCTGTAATAGTAACTGAGAACTAATGTGTCTATTGGCTCGACAATTATGGTATCAAGTGACACAACTGCCATGATTTCCACAGCACTGATCCCTACCTCTTAGACACAATAAGAATAAGAAGTATCTGGCGGCCGAGAGCGGCATGTGACAGAGCTGCAATTAATGCATGTGACTGTAATATGAACCCGTTGGACAGGCGACTGATAGCAGCTTCAATAAATAGGCTGATTATGGTGATCAGGGATCTTTGGTTCTTCCTTTGGAGTTGGCTATAATCCGCTTTGTAATCTCTTCATAACCTTCGTTACGGGGGGGGGGGGGGCGAGGGGGGTTCTGCTGTCTCAGTTGTCCTTAAGTAGCAAAATGTGAGAAATGTATTTATAGAGCACGACGGAGGAAGAGGGACAGTTTGAATCAAAGACGAAGTAAGAGAGATGCAACAACACCGATACAGATATATATACACCGGGCCGATACTGACTCAAATAGCTGGATTACAGAGTGGAATTTTAGTTCTTGTTTAAGTTTTTGTTAATTTGTTAAAAAGTTAGAAAAGCAATGTTTTAGTAAAGCCCCAAACTATTTAATTGCAGATTCGTCTATTTGCCCACTTAGCTCAGTGTTTTAAAACTACATAAAATATAGAAAAAGCTCTCTCCTGTGCCAATGCATTATCATAACCCCATTGCTGTCTGAAATACACATTTATATTGAAAAAACAAACAATCATAGTCTCATTTGAATTCTCTTTTTTGGCGAATAACCACTCATTAGCCGGATACTTCTGAACGCTTTCTCCTCAGGGACTTCATTTTCCAGTCGTGTGGTTTAAACGAGTAAAGTCTGATCTGTTATCCCCACAAAAGTCAGAATGTTAATATTAATGTTCTCCAGGTCGATATTCTACTTTGCGTTATTGCAATGCACAGGCCATTGCCCGTTAAACCTCAAACTAATTCCCATCGTTCACGGGCATCGAAGGCCGAATTTGTCTCCCAGATTCCGTTTGCTGAAACCGACATTAATAAGAAAATCTATTTATTGGAGCAAGAAGGATTTTTAGTCCCTCTGCAACACATGATGGGTTTCACCAAGTGCTTCTTTATCTGACCTTGTGATTTATTAGAGTGTAGGCGACTATCCCTGAAGTCCTGCACGTGAATAGAACGTCAGCCTGTTGGTCAGTGCTGTTCTTTTTGAAATGCCATTTAAACTCCTGCAGAGTGCTAAATTGTATTAATGTGCTGGTTAGTATTTGCCTGAGGTAGACCTGCGGATAGAAAGATGGTGGCAAGACACTGTCGGTGCCATAGGGGTGCTGTAATCTATGACTCCATCACAGTACCTGAAAAAGACAGATGACTGTAGGGTTGCTACTTTCACACTGCATCAAGCTGTCAGCGAATGTATTACCTTCTAAAATATGATTATCGCCACGATGAAACCAAGGAATCTGACATGCAGTATAATACACCCTCAGAGTCGGCTTGTTCCCCCCGTACAGCTGGAGAACTTCATCCAGGAGAATGTGCGCTCTGGGATGGAGGAAATGAAAAGGACTGCGGTGCACACCCAGACAGCTGCCATGCTACAAATGGGAACCAACCTCCTCAGCCAATCGGCGGAGCAGACCCGCAAACTGACAGATGTTGAGACCCAGGTGAGCCCACCGGGAAGCGTTTGAGTGATGCCATGGCCAAATCCAAATGAACAACTTTGTGTGTGTGTGTGTGTGTGTGTGTGTGTGTGTGTGTGTGTGTGTGTGTGTGTGGGTGTGTGTGGTTTTTGCATGGGGGTCACACCCATGCAAAAACAAATGTTACTTGCGAAACACTCGGCAAATAGCTAAATGAAATGTAAATCAGATGTAACCCACTGAGAAGCCGTGCCCAAAGGTGGCGGCAACCGCTTTTTTAAAGCAGCTGGTATTCGGTTCCACAGGCTCTGATTGACACAATGACTAGAGCTCGGCGTCTGACAACAAGCCAATTAAAACATAAAGCTCAGCAGCACAGATGTGTCTTCAGTCATGCCACAGAGCTGTTATTACAGATTGGGCTGTTTTTGGTCAGCTTGCTTTCTTTTGCTCTTATCAGAGTCGATGTGAAACTGCAACCTGTACAAATATCGGAGCTGCTTTGGTTCCAAGTTATTTTTGTTTCATTTGCAACTTCAAAAACATGTCACAGGTGCAAGTGAGGTAATTCTTGCTCAAGTTCTCATTGTAAGATCAGAGAGTGAAGCATTACGGGCCTCGTCATGTTCTGCGCGACATTGTTTATCCACCAGGGTGCTTTACAGCCCCCCCCCAGTCAATCAGCCTGTCATCTCTCTCATCCATGCTTCAACACTGCACATACTGTGATAGAGTTTTTATTCTGGTGTCATCAATCTATAGGTGTTAAACCAGACGAGTCGCCTGGAGATACAGCTGCTCGAGTACTCGCTCTTCACTAACCGGCTGGAGAAACATATCCTCCTGCAGACTCAAGAGATCTCACGCCTCGCCGACAAAAACAGGTGAAAACACACGCTTCAAAAGTCATTCTTTAGGTAGTGCCGTGTACCGTGTACAGGAACTTCATTTTCAGATCCATTATGGACCCCAAGTGGTAATTTACGAGGCACTTGTTTTCTCGATTTGAACATCACAAAGTTATTTTTGCTCTACACTTTCCAGAAAATCCCCCCCACCAGTCAAGATCTGTGCTAACCTCAATGTCAAATAGCTTTTAAATGGATTTTCTGTTATATTAACATAATGTGCATTGTGTAAGTGTGTGTGTGTGTGTGTGTGTGTGTGTGTGTGTGTGTGTGTGTGTGCGTGTTTGCCAGTGAATAGGCCGTGCGTGCTAGGAGGGGTTTCCCATTCTTCTCTCTAGAAACACAACGTCAACTTAGGGCCAGCAGAGGTTAGGGAAAGGGAGCCGGTGTTTTCTCTCTTTGTATATCCGACTGTTTATCCTTCCATCCATCTGTACAAAGTGCGACTGGTGGAACACAGTGCCCCGGCTCCAAACACCTGTTACACATCTGGCCCGGCTCATGCCCCCTTTTGGCCCTCGTCCTTCAATGCAAATAAATGTACACCTCTTCACAAGTAAACACCGTGAGGCGGCGCACCCAATTAGAAAAGGTCAACACAGATTTGCTGCCAAGCAGCTGTGGAATAAAAAGGGGGGCCCGTAGTAGATTCTGGGGGGCTACTGCCGCTGATCCTTGAGGGGACAGGGGACAGTTTTTTGAACTACTGCCAACTAAAATGAGCTGAAAGACATGTTTGTTTTCACAAGCATTACATGTAAAATACTATTGGCAGGAAGCGCAGCATTTTGCAGATAGAGGGCTAAGAGCGGTCTAATAGCAAATATGTATTTCAATAATAATAAATAGCACAATGTCATAAGCATAACAGTTTAATTGCCCAGGATGCAATGTGATCCGAAAATAACATGTTTGTTTTGTCAAACCATCTTACTGTATAAACACCGCTGTGCCGGTCTACCGCTGCACTTTGCCTGCTCCTCAAAGTAAAGTACACATAGTGGAGAACAAATTGTGAGCTTGCTTCGCCACTGGAGTCCCCCCCCCCCCACCCCTACAAGGCAAATACGAAATTGAAGTGAATTGAAACCGATTTGGGTTGATCCGGCTTTCATTTGAGGCCACATGCCGAGTTGCTTGCCTAAAGTGAGAGATCGAGGATGCACGTTCAGCGTAGCAGTTGTGCGTGTGCACGGGGCTGAAAAGTAGCTTGTTCAATCTGGGTGGCTGGATTGTTTCAATAAATAACTGCTGCACAGTCGTTAGTCAAAGCCATAAAGATCAGGCTGCAGGGATTTATGATCTTCATTTGGAAGTGGGGGGTGTGGCACTTGCACAGACACGCGCGCACACACACACACACACACACACACAGTCAGATTGTTGCCTGATGGCTGTGATCGAGAGGCTTAGCATGCTGGTCCATCTGCTGCTGCAGTACAGGTGTTTATATGATGTTAACCCAACGAGCCTGTCGCGCCGACGTCGATTAGTCATCATCATGTAAATGTGCAAGTTTGCGCAACCTCCGCTGAGATAGGTAAATGTCGAACAGCTGCACTTCTGCCACCCATCAGATTCAAGAGGCATCTTACACACTTGATATAGTATTATGTCTTCCGGTTTTCACTTTTCTCTTTTTAGGAAAATACCACACACACACACACACACACACACACAGGGATTTAATGCTTTTTTTTTTTGGTCTTCGGTAGTTTTCTGGAACAGAGGCTCTTAGCGCTGGAGGCCCGGTATGGGAAGGAGCTGCAGGGCTTGCAGAGCGAGAAGCGGCAGCTTCAGCAGCTTGTGGAGAGGCAGAGTCGACTGGTCGGTCAGCTGCAGGGTGAACTGGTCAGCTCCACGCTCAACAGCACCTTGCTACAGAGGCAGCAGGCCGTGCTCACGGACACCGTGCAGCAGCTGCTGGCTATGGTCAACCACTGCAACGGTGAGGCTGAGGCATTTTGCTGTTTTTTTGCTTGTGCAAAATACACATTCGCATGATGAAAACAGAGATTAAGAAATAATACTCAATATGAAATAGAGCACAGAGCTCTCACTTGCTAGTATTTAGCATACAATACATTTGCATTCCTATGATTGCATAGGACCTGCTTCCTGCAAAAAAAAAAAAAAAAAAAAGACTAAAGCATCAATAAACACCAGAATTTAATTTAGGCAAAAGATGAGATCTACAGCACTTAAATTAATGAGCATGAGATTTATGATTTAGTTCAATACTAAATGAAAAATATCACCTCCAATAGCTTGTATTTCAAATCCCAGACACACTGCGTGCATGCATGCGCTGCAGATATTGCAGGCTATAAGCCAGGCCAAGGTTGCCATATCTGTAAATAAATTGTCTGCATCATGTTTTTCGCAGAAATCGTCAAAGCGCCCAAGGAGGAGCCGCTTAGTTTCAGGGACTGTGCAGAGATCCTGCGATCCGGAGCGACGGAGAGTGGAATATACGGCATACGCCTCCCTAACTCTACGCACACCGTCAAGGTAGTGAGGCTCTAAAGGTCGTTGGCCTTTTCTTGCAAATATCACCTAACTGACTGTGACACGGGACTTTTTTTTTTTTTTTTTGTTTAGACATTTTACCCATTTGTCTGTCAGTATTTAACACTGGGATCATTTATTCTCTGCCCAGCCTGCGTAACGTCAAGCTTGTACACGCTACATAATGACATTCGGAAACACTGGAAAGAAAAAGTAGTCCGCCGTAATGGTAATGTGTAGAGGGGGGCTTTGGGTAAAGAGGAGGATGGAAATGCCATGCTGGGTTACAGAGGGCTGAAATAATAAGCAACAGGAACGTTATGCCCCACGGGCTTCATGGTGAGCGAGGGTGCACTGCTGAATGCAAAGTCAGAAAAGCTTACGAGGAACCTCCGCTGACCTGAAGTAGCTAGCCCTTGCTAACTCAACCGTGGCCCCCACCAGCAGCAGGCTATCCCTTCTTTGAATACAAGCTAGCATTCTTGGCTGGTTCCTTCACTCTCAGAGTTACCACAGAAAAAGATAGACAGCAGTGAAACTGTTTTTTTTGTGTGTGCGTGTGTGTGTGTGTGTTATTCATTACTTTCAGTCTACTTTGCTGGTTTGGCACCATCTCTGTGTTTTCCCCCTGTTCTTCCTATTCATTTCCTGTGGGCAAGGCAGCCAGGTGTTGGGCACTGGTGCCATGTGTTTCCTGCCAACTAGGGCCAATGTGCATTTCCACCGATGCAAGTTAGTGCTCCCCCAAATCCTCGCTGCTTTCAATCTCTGCCATCTAATTCCAATGTGGCTGGCAATCTGGGTGGCTGCTCGAAATAAAAGTGGGGCAGTTACAAATTGCCCTGTTTTCAAAGCAGAGAGCGGGCTTACTCAGCTGAACAAGTGACAAAAAGCATACACGTATTTGTGGAACGCGTCCATCTATGTATCTTTTAGTCACCGGGGCTGTGTATAATGATGGCGTTTACAAACCAAATAATGAATAGTTTGGATCGGCCCCTTTTTGAATTTTTTTATTTCATAACTCTGTTGTGCATGCTTTTGAGAGCTAGATTATGCTAAGGGGTCATAACATTAAACACATTAGGGCTCTTCTCTAAGCACACATTGTGATTCAACAACTGTGTCCCCTGAAAGCCGGAGCCACAGCATAATATGAAAGAAAAAAAAAGCTAAATACTGCTTAAATTGTCTGGATTTTTGCATTTTATTCTAATGGGTTTGTGCCTAACTGACTCCTTGGCTAATAATAATTGAATGGAGTATTAAATATGGATCTGGTCTGAATCACAATAACGACCACATTTGGGAAAAGGCTTAACTTAATCTATTTCAAGATCCTGTTTTTTGTATTCAGTGTGATGCCTTTAAGGCCAGAACATTAGCTTAATGTGCCAGAGAATAAGCGTCTACTCTGCTTCCAGAGGTAAAGGACCTGAGTGCCTTTTGACCCCGATTTAGCTTTCCTATTCTGGGCAAGTGCTGGAAACTTTCATTACATTTCTGGCTGGAAAATAGCCACTTGAGTTGTCGACATAGAGAGACCCCTCTTTGGGATGCCGTCCGCGTAACCAGCATCCGCACCGCCCGACTCTCGAGACGGGTCAGGGTGGTTTGTATGGTGGACAACATTCAAGCAACCAGCCAAGTGAACCCATTTTGTCTCATCGGTAATTGACCACATTGCAGGTTGTAGAGGTTGTTATTGAGTCAGAAGTGTCACTGACAATAGGCCAAAAGATTCGATCCTGGTACAGGTCATTTCATATCTCCAAAATGATATCGCGATACAGCATGTTTTAAGGTACTTCAATAAATGAGTAGTCTATATGAATCCATATGCTAAGCATATGTATGTATATATACACTTGCTCAACTAAAAAGGACATAATCTTACCACCCATGGGAAAAAAAAAATCACAGTCATGTCATCACGACACAAGAGGAGCTGGAATATGTCCAGTCAAACACCTCACATACGTAAAAACAAGTCCCTAAACAAGTGTACCTTTCCAATTCTGTCACTAGATGAACGAGCGCAACCCAGTCCTTTGTGGTCTCCCAAACATATCTATTGTTATACATAATGGCAAAATGTGAAGCCAAGTAAGAAAGAAAATGTAGGGAGCCAGAAGCAAAGATGTCTCATCCTCAACCCTCACTTTCCTGCCCAGCTGGGACACATCATTACGAAAGGTGTCATCCTCAGTAATGAAGAGAACTCTGCAGCCCTCCTCCGATTTTCTCTCCTCCCTGCTCACTGTTTTGGTTTTTCGTATAGCAGCAGGAAGTTGTTTGCTAGTGAAAAGGCTCTGCTATACCTACTACACAATCAACTGTAAGCTGGTTAACGCAGCGGGGCATTTGGCCGGGTATTTCCCACAGCAGCTGTGGAGATCAAGGGAGGCTGAATATTGGACTCACACTTGCCAACGTGGCTCGAAAACACAACTCCGAAATACTGCTGTGTATCTGGTGAAAGGGTAAAATGATTGTGGCGAAAAACAGAATGGTGGTTGCTATAAGGTGATAATATGGCAATGCGGTGTCTACTTGTGGCAAAAACAATCAATTATTGCTGCTTTAAAGTTAAGAATAGCTTCCTGGTTTGATCAGGAAATTAAAAATGCAATCATGTTGTTGTCCAGCCACAGGAAATAAAAGCGGCTTGTATTTCGCCTTCACTTCCACAGGTGTTCTGCGACATGACGACTAGGGGCGGTGGGTGGACCGTGCTGCAGCATCGGAGAAACGGCTCGGTGGACTTCCACCGTGGGTGGACGGACTACAAATTGGTGAGTTCTGTGGGGTTAAAGTGCACCCTTATCAGCATAGGCGGTACGGATCGGTGTTGCGGGACTGGACAGGAGGTTCCAATAACCCTCCATGGGTGACTTGGCACTGAGAGGCGTGGGATACCGGCTAGCCTGTGATCCCAGGTGACCTGCGGTTTGTTGTGTTTGGCCGGCCCTCATGTGCTCCACCAACCCCCATGTTATTGCACCTGCTCTCTTTCCCTCTCCCCGTCATACTCCCACACACCCATACATACTTACACACACACACACACACAAATACACACACACACACACACACACGTCATGCAGTTCAATGACACAGCGCACTACGGTTTGTACCCATCCTTAATCCCAATAGCGTGCGTAAGGGAATGCTTGTGCAGCGATGAAAGTAACAACATTTCAAGCTCCGGAAAACTGGATCTAATAAAAATTGTACACTAGAGACTATGAAGTTGTCAAGCATGTTTTAACACCTTTGTCTTTTTGTTTTCTTTGCATTAAGATGATGCTTTTTTTTATGAACCTCATCACAAAGACTTCTCAAATCGAATCAATGTTCCGTTGGCGCGATAGAGGAAAAACAACATATGCTTGCCGGGCCTTTCCGAGCGTGTTAAGTGACACACAGAACAAGTGAGAGAGGCTAGTTTGGGATTGAGTGGAGTAGCAATTTTGTCTCCGACCCATGCCAACAAATCAGTTGCTGCAGCTCCGACTGAAAATAGAATGGAGAGAAGACCGTGACTGCAAACAGAAGGAGAGAGACATAAAAAAATAAAAAATAAATAGCTCAACAAAACTCTTTCAAGAACAATATTTTTACAAGTGGATGATAAATATTTGGTTCCAGTTGGGGGCGTGAGAGCACAGGGGCCTTGTAGATGGCATAATAATAACGTGTGTACTAAAATGCTTCACTGAGCCTCCGCCCACAAACTCCATATCTTCACAAACTGTGGGCAGTGCTGATCAAGTGTTGCACCCGGGCCTTGCTGGATGCACCGAGGCTCTGAGTATTTATTCACTCTCACTGACTGAGGATTCAGAGGTAAACAAGGAGAAGACGTTCTTCTGTTAGACTGAACAATGCATGGGCTGGGCTATCCTACAGGTCATTTCATATCACGATAACTTTATATCACAATATAGAATTATATATATAGTGTTCGGTTAATATATAAATGATCTCTATCAAATAACCTCATGCTAAACCCTATTTTTTAGACTTCTGTGTAAATTCAATACTTGACAGTTTTGAGTATTATCTAATTTTATTAAGAACTTGCCAAATTAACAACTGTTTCAAGTGAAATTATAGAAGAAAATAAAAATAAATACAGGCCGAGCCAATATTTAATTTCCTTCACCCGGTTAACATCTAACATTGACTCGTGGTACAGAGTCTCTTGTACCCGTTACTTTATATTCCAAACCCATACTGTATAATGTACAAATAGTTCATAAATGAATGTAAAGCTGCCAAAACTCTGAATATAACTCATACAAATCATATTCATTAAATTCTTGTTTGGATGATGGCAGTGGAGAATGCTCAAATCAAACAACACTCAGAATCTCCCATAGGCATAACCGTCTGGGGTCTCAATCAATAAACACTGCTGTGAAAACCGTACACCTGTCGGTTGCAGTAAATTAAACAATAAATGAAATTAGACCTATTACAGTGTTCGTATAACTCATTAAATGATTAACTCCCATTAGGTTCGGTATGCAAACAAACAAAGGTACATTTCAAAGCTGACTTTTCTGTACCTTTCCACCCCTTAATATGTCCTGTTTATAATTAACTTCAAGTGTCAGTTGCACAGATAGAACATTTGTAGGGTATTACGGTAAAATTAAAGTCTCAGCTGACTGGCCCATTGCTTTAGGAGTGGAGTATTTGTCTAAGTCCATCACAATGATACGACTTCTTAATTTCAGGGTCCTTTTCATAAGAACCACAGAAACACTTGGCAGGTCCCTGGTAAAGAAAACAAGCCCCTTGTTGGAATAGTTTCTTGTTCCATCGTTTCTCCGTCTGTGTGTCTAATCCAGGGCTTTGGAGAGCCGTCTGGGGAACACTGGCTGGGGAATGAAATCATCCACAAGCTGACCAGCTCCCAAGAATACAGTCTGCATGTCCAGCTGAAAGACAGAGAGGGGAACGAAGCGTTCTCACACTACGACCGCTTCTACATCGAGGGAGAGGACAACAGCTACAGGTACCGGCGTCACACATCACGTTCATTCATTACTGCAGGCTTTAATCCTGCATAAGAAACAACGCTGAGATCAAAACGGACTATTTTGCTTATTAAATCATCCTATTATCCCAAAGTTTTGGGCATATCTCAGTATATGATGGAATGATGAACTAAAACACTTCATGTACACTCGGGTCTCCAATTAAATGATTTCACTTTGTCAGAAATCAGACACGAACGGGACTATAATGACGAGTGCTTTATTGAAGTGTTTTATGAAGAGGCCTTCTAATGTGAAATGCATAATTGCGATGCAGTAACACCCGTTATATCGCCGCCTTCCCTCTGGGTTTAATGCTCCTTAATATCACGACAGATTAGAAACAGTTATCGACAGTTCAAGCTCACTTCGATTTCGTCCTTCTCTAAGCACGGAGGTTAAGGATGTCATTCAAAAATGATGATGAGCTCGGCAGAAGGTACGCAGCCACTGTTGTCTGGCTCCATTTTTCTTCTCACTGTGGCTACCACTGCCCCTGAAAATGGGGGGCTACCTCCACTGGAGTATAAGCCCCCGCGGCAGGAACTGACAACTCAAACCAAGCTCCTCGGTAACCTTGCAATCACTAATAAGATTATGCGTGGGTGTGCTGAAGCCATGCTATAAAACAGCAATGAAATAGGTTTGCTAGATTTCATATAAACAGGTATTTACCTGTGTTTTGTGAAAGTTTATGCAGATTGACGCTCTGGGATGACAAATCATAATCATATGTGGGTGTGTGCTTGTCCAAAGGACCCCTAATAGTGCAGAAAATTGCATTCGCCCGAGTTTGTTCTACATAATTAGCGCGATGAACCTGAATGTTTCACGGTTGTGCCGCAGGCTACACACTGCGTGAGGTGAAGCACCTGAATGAATGTAATCACCTCTGAAGCTTGGCTACCTCTGAGATCATGTTCCGTTGTAACTAGTTCAATATGGACCAGCTTTTACTAGCATGCTGGAGATGCTGGCTTCATCCGCGGGTTGAAATTAAAACTCCCCAGCCAGAGCTGTGGCGCTGCACAGCCTGCCAGCCACAGCAATCCTCCTCCTCTGCCGCATCCAGTGTGCTCCCTAAAGCCACATGGAGGTCTCACAACATTATTCATATGTTATTAATCAGCATGGAAGACCACTTTCCACTGACGTGGAAACCAAATAGCATCCCTTTTAATGTAACAGTGTATTTGTCATTAAAGGATACAATAACAATATGAAAAGATGGTCACTATGAAAAGGATTAGTCTGCGGTGTCGATGGACTAGCGGAACTAATACATCTGGAAGTCATGGCTAATGCAAAAGTTGTGCAGAGTAAGAAGAGATGGCTCCAATAGGATATCATGTAGCCTGTGGTTCGCCATCTTGTCTAATTTGATAGTTTTTAATTTTCCTCCACATTTCTCCAACATAAATATCCAAATATCCTCTCATATATTATTCCAGCCCCCCCCCCCCCCCCCCCTCCTCTTGCTGCACTTCTTGATGTGTTGCCCTGCCTTTGTGAACTTACAAATTCAAGAGGAGATTCCTTCATTTAGTCATCACAGACAGCGTTGGCCCGGGGCTCCGGAGTGGGGTCACATAACTCAGGGGGAGAGTCCGGTACTAACTAGACAGAATGGCAGGGCAGGGGAGAGGCCAGTCAGCAGGGCTGACCTCCTCGTCCACCCCCTTCAGACTCGCACTCACACACAGTCTCTCACACACACACACACAGTCTCTCTCACACACACACACACACACACACACACACACACACACACACACACACACACACACCATTGCTGAGGACGCTGTATATATTTAATTGAGCGAATCAATTCAACTTGTGCAGAGATCCCGTTCAGACTGTTTGGGTTGTTTTCAAAAAGCGCCGCATGGAGGAAAAATAATGAGCAGTTATTTTATGTTAGTTTTTGTCTTGATGCTTGGCAACAATGGGAACCTTGGGGGG